TGAGTTCGGTCTCGAAGACCGCGAAAGATGGGAAGCAGTGGCGGTCCGTCAAGCGTTTGGAGAACGCCCAATCTTCCGCACGACCCTTCAAATGCGACATCGCGAAAGCTACGCGGGTGGCGTCGTCGGAGATACGCTGAGCGTCAGCAGCAGTGCTGACTTGTAAAAGCCAGCGGAGGAGTTTGTCCGACTCCGCTCCGCTGAATTTGGCCACATCCAGCTTGATCGACGTCAGGCGAGAAGTCGATGGTGTTTCCGACTCTGAAGCGCGCGTGAGGCGCGCGATCTCGTCGTGGGCGATTCGCAGAGAATCTTGGAGGGTGCAACCATGGGACGACATGGTAGAGGCTTGGTCTTCGAGAGTCGCGATTTTCTCGCGAGCGATGCGAAGAGAATCTTCAAGGTTTCGCCCGTGCGAAGACATTTGGGCGACTTGTTCTTCCAATGCCTTCTGGGCGGCCGTAGCTTCGGCAACCGAGAGATCAATCGTGCTACCGATGCCTTCCACAAGGCGAGTTTGGTTATCGGGAGTCATCCCGCCAAGGAGTAGCGCGGTATCGTTGTCGCCAAAACCGCGACGCAAAAGGGCGAGGACCGCCTGGTGGGCTGTGGTGTTGGTGGAGGACATAATGTTGGTCGACTGGACGAACGTGGAGTGCTACCAAGTGTGGGCGTGCGCAGAGGAAGACGCAGGAGATGGTAGAATCAAGAATGAATTGATAGCGTTAAGACTACTACGCTATCACTAAGCTACGCGCAACCAACCATTGATGTATCGTCGGAGGAACACCTTGGTTGCGCAAGAGGACTTGTTGGTGTGCGACGAGACACCTTGGACTGAAGAGGTGTCGACTAGTCATCCGGTTAGTAACCGGATGATGGGCACGGTTACACCATGTCTGTCTTGGCAGACTGGCATCAGGCCAAGTAGAAGTTCGTCAACGCAAAGGTGAGTCGTTGGATTGCATCGTAGCACTTGGTCCCCCACACAAAGGTTGTATACGATACTTTCCATAGAATACACACACGACCGAAGAAGTTCTCGACGACGATAGGGTCCGACGATACGTTGCTGTTGCGCTCGAGGTCGGCCCGGTGAAGAACGCAATGCACTGGTCGCTTCTTGGGGTGCATGGCTCGCGTCGACCCCAACAACCTAACGTATCCCTTGTCGACGAGTATCGCCCACGAGTCAGGGAAGTCTTGAAAGATCTCGCCATTGTCGTTGGGTGTTGTCTCATTCTCCACTTGCGTAGGGTCGAAAGGTGGATGTCCTGGCGGTCGCGAAACATGGTGATGTCAGATACAGAGCCGGGTTCGTGCGCACTCATGTCCACAAGGAGCTTTTCGGGTGAGACCTACGCCTCCATCCTAAGCCCGTGTAATTGGTGCTTACCACTGAAATAGTGATTTAGCTCTCCTAAGCGACCCGTTGGACGTTTTGCAGGCTAGAACTTGACATCGGTCGCATACTTGGCGTAGGGGTAGTTACGGAACACGACGTCCAAGCCACACAGTTCCGTCATTGTCGACATCATCGCGAAGTGGTCATACAGAACAGGCTGGACAGTGTCGATCACCCGTATGACCATCTTCTCCAATGTATTCATGCCGAAATCGAAGGCATGCTTGTTTCATGTTTGGTAGTACTTTAGAACGACCAACGTACGTACACATTTCGTTTGTTTCGAGGTACTCAAGTGATATTACATGCGCGAAGCGCCTTTCCTAATTCCTGCCAGCACACTAGCGCAGCGGCGTGTTTACTGATCATATTAATAACCAGTATTTTGGAAATACCTATCGATATACGGGATATATTCCATACTATGATTAGATAGGTCGAAGTGTAGTCTTCTTATTCCGGGGTTTGGCGCATCGCCAGTGGTTTGCTATAGCTGGCAATGCCCCCTCACGAAAATCAGAAGCACCCCCACGCAGTCGTGGTCATAGTGGCCTCCAATTCGAATTCGTAACTGTTGCAAATTGATTTGTACTACTTGAGTAAGTGTAAGTAAACATTTACACAGCCTTATAGATTTGGACTCCTCTGTAAAATTATATAATTGGGTGCCAATCATTATTAAGTTTTTCAAGACTTCCTATATAAATCCGCGGGGCGATCCAAGCGGTTGTTCCGTGTCCTAGTATGGGCGCACAGCGGACGTTCGACTGTTCAAGTAAATGACATTAAGCTTAACAATATAAGACCCTTCGCTAAACGTCAAACGTTTGACGAAATCCATCAAGTAGCGGTCTCGGGATGCCTACTGACTGCTTGCATGTGAACCTGCTGTGTTGTTCAATACGGAAGTTTATTTGCTTACACGTTAGTTGGATTAAGGGTAATTTAATGATCACATCCAAGTAGTGCAGTACGGGAGAACAAGTGACTTGTGTGCCGCCAGCCTTAGGAGAGGCGCGGCGGTAGCCCAATATGGCATTGCAGTTATGAACATTTTGGCTGCCACGTTGGCCACCACTTGGCCGTTGATTCGGGTAAAACGTTTAAAGGCGTCCAACAACCATCGTCTTAATAGTAGTTGCATGACCAGGTCCGTGACACCACCCCTAAACTGTACGGTAGCTCAAACAATTCGCAGAGAGTGTGTCGAGTACTTTGCAGCTTCGTGGCCAGTGTCGTGTGCCACCGTTTTGATGTGGCTGTTGATAACTTTGCTTGAGATTGGATGCCATGTTGGACGCAATAGAGCGGTTCGTTGGGCATGTGTTGTGGTAGGCTACTTCATCCAAGTCTCGCCATGACACAGGTGGTCCTTAACCGAGCCCACCACCCGGTGGGCTCGGTTGGGTGCCAGCCCCTGGCGAACCGACACGGGAAGGCGTAGTATTACTAGTTGTACTAGGGTGTAGAAAACAGAGCACCTGTCCCAGCTAACTGCCTGAATCTCACTCTTGGTTCTGCAGCGCCGTGGTAACATTAAGTCAATCAAGTGTGCGGTTTGGAGGGAGTCGGCACTCCCCCATTTGGTTGTTTGTGTTGGCACTGGCGTGGGAAACAACACAAAGTATACTTGAGTTCCAGTGACCTACGGAACTGAGAGCAATGGCGAAGAACTCAAAAGATCGCGCCCAGAAGCCTAAGGCCACTGCAACGGCGCTAGCAGCTGCGGGCAGCGAGAATGAGGAAGAAGTACCAGTGCTGGAGCCGCCGTTGGTCCCCGGTTGTTGGAAGGACCACGGATGTGCGGCCGGCTGTGGAAGAGTCCAAAAACGAAGAAGTCCGGAAGACGATGGAAGAGCTGGCCTAGGCGAACAAGGCCACGGGTAGCGCGCGAGCGGCGTCCATGACCTGGGATGAATCGCGTCGGCGATATGGCGGCCAAACCATGGGATCGAACTGGGAACAATTACCACGACCCCCGATCGAAGGCGCTTATGTCAACGAAGGCTACCCTACGCCCGAAAAGTCCGAAGCCGAGGAGCGAGAGGATGAAAAGGCGGAAGCCCGAGCCAAGCTACGTGCGGAACGACGGAATCGACCGGATACAGAACTCCTGACAGCGAGGAAGAAGAAAAGGAATACCAGGAAGAACAGCGTAAGCAAGCTGAGCGGCGGCGGAACAACAAGGCCAACCGTCCCCCAAAGGAAAAGCGTGTCGACCACGCCAAAGTGGCGCGCGTGGCCTATGACCGCCGGATGCTGGATACAACCATTCCAAGCAGCTCGGGATGGGGACCTTATTCGAGCGGACCACCGACACCAAGCAGCGGAGGCTGGGGGACAGGCATCAATCCCAGTGGACTTTCATTGGTGGTGACAGATGTCCAACACCCTCGGATCACCTGTATGGACAGAACTTTCCTGGTGAGGTGGGTAAAGGAGCGAGAAATATATGAGGACAAGTTACAGGCGAATGCGCAACGCATGGGTGGCGAGTGGCGACGGAGTGCTGTGCGATGGATCCCTTCCACTGACCGCAGCCTCCTGAAGGCAACATGCACTTATGTGTGGCGAGTGCCTGTGGAACAACTCAGTGAGGACGACTATCGCGACCACATCATGGAAATCGTCGGGCAACCAGCGACCAAGGGGTCACCCACCAAGTCAGACATGCAAACATATTGTCGGGCGTTGAGCGTTGACCCCCATGGAGACATGACCAGCGCCTGGTGTCATTTATGGAGCGGGTGGATGATGTGATCGATGAGAACGGTTTACGTCAACTACTCAAGGACTCGACCATGCTGAGAACGTTCGTGAAGGTGGTAGCAGCGCGTGTCACACCCAGCTACTTGCGCGACAGAGTGGAAGAAAAAATTGAAGACCGTGCCGGCGAATGACCTGGTGGCCTTTGCGGACATCCTTCGCGAATAGCTCGATCGAACGCATGATGCAGACATGGTCAATCAGCAAAGGAACAGCTATGGTTCAAAGCGTGGTCGCGAAGAAGACGACCAAGGGCGCCGCTTATTAAACATGCGAAGAAAGCCAACCATGCTGTTCGAGACCAGCGGGAATTCCGAGAAAATTACCCATGTCCACCGGTGGATACATCAAGCCGGAACGAAGTGCGACGGTGTGGTCCCCGTCGACTCAAAAGCGATCGGGGGACCCACCAGCCACGAAGTACGGACCGCGAGCAAAATCGCGCCAAGACACGATGACCGCCCTGTCCAAGCTGTGCGTGTGAAGTGCACCCTCGATTTGCACCTGGCCGAGATGGCGGCGGCATGCTGTGCTTTGTCTGCCAGCAGCCAGCACACATGGCCCGGGAGTGTCCCAACAAAAAAGATGGGGATAGCGGCGAAACCAGCTGGAAGAAGGGCAAGAACGCCGTGAAGAGGTTCAAGGCGCGGAAACGCAAAGCAAATATGCAAGCGACGCGAATGAAGAAGCCCCCATCGCCCACCATGGACTATGATGGACGCTGGGTGCGACTGAACAGTGTGCTGGAAATTCCCTACTGCTCGGACACCGGCACAGACCAGAACATTGTGCCACAACCCATGGTGAATGAACTTCAAGTGTTACAGCCGCAACTTCAAGTTGTCAAGTTGGCGGCGCCATTTGTGGGAACATAATGCAATCAGATGCCGTTCGATGCGCGCTCATACGTAGACCTTACGCTGACAATGCAGACAGCTGCTGGACCAGTCAAGGTGCCAAGCAAGCGCCGCTGTTAAACCTTTTTTATGTGTCAACGACGGAGATGAGTTTCTCGTCTCGGATGACACCCTCAAGACCATTGGTATCGACATCGACCGCCTGTTGGAACCGGTGACGTGCCTACAAGTGGACGAAGACGGCGACGACCTGGAAGAAGTTGGTGGCGATTGCATGGAGTAGCCCCAGCGATCGGCCGTCCGAGCCGCGTCCATGAAGGCGGTGCTACCTGTAGCCAAGAATGAAGTTGAGGAAACCCTGCAAGGCATCATCGACGGCGCAGTCGATAACGGATTTCCAATGGAACATGTTAAGTACTTGTGGGATGTGCTCAGCAAGCATGACATCTGGCGACTCGAGTTCGACGGGTCACCCACCAACGAAGGTGAAGCCGCTGAAGGTGACCCCGAAGGATGGGTGTGTTCCTTACCGATACAAAGGAAGGAAAGCACAACCTCCTGGATGAGAGGTTCCTCAAGTTGTTTGCACAAGAACTACTCGATGCAGGCGTGATCAAGAGCAACCAACAGAGTGCGTGGTGTAGCCCGGTGAACCCAGTTCTCAAGTCGTTCTTCGATCGAGTGGCCCAGTACGGGTTCAAGCTGAGTCCGGACAAGACCAAGCTGTTCACGGACCAAGTCAAGTGGTGCGGACGCATCATCAGCGGTGATGGCGTCAAGAAAGACCCTGAACGCATTGAACATCTGTGTGCGATCCCCTACCCTACGAATGCGGGTGAATTGCAGCAGTTAGTGTGCGCCGTGAACTGGCTGCGGGACTCGATGACAGAGTACGCTCAAACCGTCGACCCACTGCAGCAGTGTCTGACGAAGGCCCTCGATGGCAAGGGCAAGAAGAAGCGGGTCGCGTCTGGTGTTCAATTGGAACTGACCGACGGCGAGAAGCAAGCGTTTGATGCCGTAAAATCCAAGCTACGATCATCGGTGGAACTGTCTCACCCGCGTGACGACGCCACGATGTGTCTGTTTACGGATGCGAGCGATTATGGATGGTCGATTGTGGTAACTCAAGTGGTGGCATTCGATGATGACAGCCCAGTCTAAGAACAAAGTCACGAACTGCTCTTATGTCAGTCAGGGATGTTTGCGGGCGCCCAGAAGGCGTGGCCAGTCATCGAGAGGCCTACCCTATTGCGCGTGCGAGAAGAAGGCGCACACACGCGGCAAACTCATGCAATGGGCTGCCATTATTGGTGGCTATCGTTATGAAATCATACACATCGACGGCATCCACAACCTTTGGGCGGATATGAAGAGTCGTTGGGGTCAGCCGACACCAAGTCTGGCGACCCAGCGGGTCAAAATACGTCGGGGCCATGGCTGGTCAAAGAAGATCAAAACACGCAAAGTTCGCCCACCGGCAAAACAGAAACTGCGGCTGCTGGACAAGGACTTTGTGTGGCCATGTGTGGCGGACATCCGTCATGCCCAAGACCAGCATGACATAGACAAACCAAAGCGAGCCGCGAGGACTGTGGCAAGTGGACGAGCGGTTATGGATTCCGAGTGCGGCGAATGACCTGATCCATCTGATCATGGTCGTTGCCCACTACAACAGCACCGGACATCGAGGACATGCAGAGTTGGTGGCAACAATCCGCCGTCTGTTCTATGTTGACCACCTGGCCGACGGGGTCAGTGAATTCCTCTGTGGCTGCTTATTGTGCCCTCATGTAAAAGGGGGAAGGGTGGACCGTATGCTCCGAGATGGCACGCGAAAGAGGGCAACGAAGGAATCCACTTCGACTACCTCTACATGGGCGAAGCGCTCAGTGGCGCTAAGTACGTGCTAGTACTCAAAGACGACCTGGCCCTCTACAGGGAACGACGCTGAGTAACGGCGTGATGAGGACTTGTGATTGGACAGAGAGGCGGTTCGAATTGGCCAATTGAGGATCACAAAACCAAAATATATAAAAAGCATCGAATGAAAAAAAATGAGCTTTGAATATAAGATTACAAAGGATATGAATACAAAGAGTAATTAGTGCTAGGAAGACATCGATGCCATGGTTTTCAAGTCCTCATTCTTGCAGGAAACTAATTATCACAAGGGATCAAGGTCATAATAATGCCTATTACACATATTGCATTACATCACTGTGATACAATGGACTGTGGATTTGCACCCCCATGGGAACCAAGAAAATGTGACATGACCGCGTATAAAAATACTACTACGTAGTATAATTTTGATACTCAATTCAAGTAAAGAAAAAAAGTACACGGTATGGGTCAATGGAACTACAAGCCATAGAATACACAACTCCCCCCCATTATCTCCCTTGAACAGACGGATAGGGAGCCGCGCAATACAGTCGTGCCTTCAGCTAACTGTAAGCGTACGACATCGAGCTATTGGGTGAGCGTCGGTCTGTGTCGAGGCTTCGTTGACAGCACTGTGGCTGCAGGTAGCACTGACATTCAAGGTTATCAAGTAGTGGGGTGGAAAGTTGTTTAAATTGTGCCGGGAAAAATTCCGCCAATCATAGTCGAGGTAACGATATCGATGATTATTATTGGCTGCTATGAACATTTACCCCCGCACCGTTACTCAGCGTCGTTCCCTGTACTGCGAACTCATTGACTGCGACGGCCCCACGAGCCAAGTATCATGGATGCCCTGGTGGACTGGACGAAGCGGTTTGGAATGCCACGAGTCTGGGTCAGCGACCAAGGAACCCACTTCAAAAACGTGGCCATAAAGGCGTTGGTCCACAAGTTCAAGGTCCATCACGACCTAACCTTGGCCTACTGCCCCTGGCACAATGGAACGGTGGAGCGGATGAACCGCGACATCTTTCAAGTGATGAGGGTCATGCTGCGAGAGTACCAGCTAGCTGAACAAGAATGGGACTACCTATTGCCGGCGGTCCAAGCCAACCTCAACCAAACACCGGCAGCATCACTGGCGAGCACGTCATATATGTAACTGTTTACGGCTTTAAACCCGGTGACTCCCCTGGATGTCGTCGTGGTGGGCATGAACAAGGAACTCCGAGAGAGCGACTAGACGGTCAAGGACATCCCCAAGAACCTGGACAAGCTGCGTGCTAGCCTGCAAGTCATATACAAAGAAGCACTGGACAAGAATGCGACGCGTGCGGCGAAGGCGACTGAAATGTACGAGCAGTGCAATGTCAGCGAAGGCGATTATGTGCTCTGGTCCCGCGTCGACTAACGTTACGATCCCAAGCTGCTCGTAACTGGACGGGCCCCTACCGATTCAAGTAAGTGGGCGAATTCTCCGTTGTGCTGGATCACCTGGTGACTCATGAGCTGCGGGAAGCCCACACCTCAAGAGTCAAGCTCTACGCCGATTATAGCTCAAAGTGGCCGAAGAGATCCTCGAACATGTTTCCGAGCAAGGGATCATGCTGAAGGTCAAGTCCATCGCGGGACACAAGTTTGTCCCGGATGTGAAAGACTTCATGCTGGAAGTGCTTTGGGAGGTTTTGAGGATATCGAGTACTCATGGGAACCGCTGCAGAAGCTCATGCTTGAATGCTCGTCTGTGGTGAAGTACTATGTTGAAGGCGTGAAGAAAGCGAGCGAGGGCGATGCGTTACGCAAGGCGATGAAGCGAGCGAGCGCGAAGAATTAGTCAGTCATGCGGGACATGGCTTGGGGGTATGTTGTGGTGGGATACTTCATCCAAGTCCCGCCATGACACAGGTGGTCCTCAACCGAGGCCACCGGGTGACGACCCTTGACGACCCGACACGGGAAGGCGTAGTATTACTAGTTGACTAGTTGTACTAGGACGTAGAAAACAGAACGCATGTCCTACCAACTGCCGGAATCTCACTTTTGGTTCTGCAGCGCCGTGGTAACATCAAGTCAATCAATTGTGCGGTTTGCAGGGAGTCGGCACTCCGCCATTTGGTTATTTGTGTTGGCACTGGTGTGGGAAACATAACAGCATCGCACCGATGGCCACATTTGGTGGATCAATATACCATGCTGCTGCCACAGGGCAGAGCCAGAATACACCCGATTTTGCAAGTTGTAGCGTGGATCCGCGACCGGATTAGTCGGACTTTGTGCTTCGGAGTTGAACCTTGCTGGTGTTGTCGTAACTTCGCGCTTAGCAGTCAAGGGAGTCGAGGAATGTTACATCTCGAATTCGGATGATGTGGCTGGTGGGCTTCCCTCCAACGGCGCAGTAGCGGATCGTCGTAGAAGAAAGAAGAAAGCCAAGACTGTAGAGCCCTAAATGACTCGGACTTGGTGATCGTGGAGGCAAAGTCGATTCCGATGGTCAAGCAGGATATGAACGGAGACGGGGTCTTTGGTGAGGGATGTCGAACGGATGCGTTGCACGCCTGTGAGCTGATGAGTGTTCGGAGGAAAGTCGCACGGAGTGGTGGTTGCGAGTGCATTGGTGGTGCCACGAGAGGATGGTTAGTTTGGACCGGATGATTTGGGCCATCCAGAGTCGCTAGACCAGAGATGCGTTGCGAAAGCGAAGAGTTTGGTTCAATTAGATTAGATATCGTGAGATAACCATACGAGTAGTCTAACTGAGCATTGGTAACTGCACCATTCCTGCCAGACGTGAGTGTAGCTTGCAACGGAGGAGGGGGCCAGTGCTGACCGGTGAAGGGCTAACACAGTAGATAAGCGTGGCGTAAGGTGTAGATTGCGACCACCCTTGTGTCGCCGTTTTCCACAGCGTAAGTAAAGACTCGCGGTTCACTCGTGATCCTGCGTCTGGATCACGATCACGAAACCGTTGGTGTGAGCTCCCGCGATGTGTTGTGGGTGGAGATGGTGAATCGCTTGGAGTAATCCGAGGCAACGATTGATTTGTTGGATGTAGCCGTTCTTGCTGGCGAGTGTAGTGGACCATGCGAGCGCGCTGATGTTGCAGGTAAGAACCTGGGCGTATATTGTGCGACGGCATGCGGGATCAACGAAGAGAAGACCCCAGATAGCAATGGCCAGGGCAACACAAAAGTGTTCGCGCACGCTTCTTGAAAAGCATGCGTGTATTCGTGACGTACCGAAATCACGTGACCTGGGATTGGTGAATGGTTGAAGTGGTAACTCTGATTGATTGGACTAATTTTGTTGGAAAATAACTTGCACTCTTGAATGAGGGCAAGCTCGGTCGAGTCCCAGCGGAGCTGAATGAAAAGCCGTCGTACGGGGAACATGATCGCAAGGCCCTCATCGCTGGCGTCCATTTTGAGGGTGAATTTCGGCGTTGAAGTGTCGGTGAACAGGGAGGTGGGTACATGGGATAGGTGGCCGACTGCGAGGATCGTGTCGAACCAGCGCAGGTCGGCCAGCGCTGGGGGAGGCAGGTTGTGAGTACCAAATCTTGGTAAGCGACATAGTAGATGTTGTAGAACCGGCACATCTTCGGCGTCCACTGAGCGTAGTACTTGAGCTCCAAGCAGAATGGCGCAAATGGGGAAAATGAGTTCGAGTAGCGACGTAGGGATATCGGGGTAGTGATCTGGGTCGTTAACGCTACAGAACGTGGAGATGTCGTAAGCGCAGTAACTTAGCCATGGTGCCACACACCATCCAGATCGCAAAAAGCAAATCATCGCATCCAAAGAGTTGCACCAGCCTCAACCTACTCGACGTTGACGATTGGAAGGAAACACGAGTCCACCAGGATCGATTCGCGGAAGGGCGACACAAGGACATTACGACGCGGTGACATGTGTGACCTGGCCGTACGCGAAACAAGGAAGGTACCGCGTTCAGGTTGAATGCGAACGAGGAGGTGGAAGTGGAACAATACATCAGAGCGCGGCGACGAAGGGTACTGTAGTATTAAAGTCTGACTAATACTAGTAACTTACAGTTATATAAGCGATTCTACACTACAGTAGGACCCCCTGCACTTTTCAACTTGGAATAACCTCAAGTTGTTGTGCCTTCATCAACGGTAGAAGTTCCCCCACCATCGAAACGCTGTCCAGGTACTCACAGTCAATATCTCAAACGACGGAACCTTTCAAACTGACGAGAGGTCCCAAGCGCCAAGTTTCGAATCCCCCGACTTTAAATCGTTGAGAACCTTAATGTGTTGACACAATAACTTGAAATGTCACGTATAGTACATGTAAGCATGCTGTGTCGTCCAACCTCGGCACCAGCACATTCAGCAATTCCGGTAGTCTACGACACACACCATGTCACTACATGAGACAGTCGAGTTGGAGGGATTGCAACAATACCCCCCCCCAGCCCCCATCGACCACCCGACACATCTACCGTTGTAATATGTAAGTTATGTTCATGTAGTTATAGGAAATATCATCCGGTGGGCGGGGTCAATCTAGAGCGTTGTGTACACGGACTATAAAACGTGGACATGCCAATACATATTAGTACGTCAACGTGATAGTTAGCGTTTTCTATAAGGCAATGGGAATGCCGCTCACCACTTGAGCGTAGTCGTTACTGTCGTCGAGATTTGTGGGGCGAGGGCGTTTGAGTGGATTGAAATGTGAAATTACTCCAAAACATCCTGTTGCATTAACCAATACTAACGTTAGCTAGCTTACAGTACTACGTACGACATAGGTATGATGATGGAATGACATTTATGAACGAATTCGGTTGACTATACCTGTCAATTGTCAACACGTTTTAAGATGCCCTAAACCCATCAACGTCAACTATTTCGTTCGAGAGAACCAAGGTCGATCATTCAACGCCACAATGTTGCATTAATTATGTCGCTACGTGCGCTCGATCAAGGTTGTGCTTGGCCCAGAATAATACGAACTGCGTTAGCCACGACAACGCCAGCCAAAGGTTCAACCGAGTCAGAGCAACTTAAGGGGAAGTTCCAAGTAGTTTTCAGAAATAGCATGAGCTAATCAAAATCGATTTACCTCTTTTCTTTTCACGATTTAGAAAAAGATGTCAACTTTTTCTACTTTTTGGTATAGTGAGTTGCGTAAAAATATCGCACAAAAAGAGGTAAAAAAGTACTACTTGAGTAGTACCCTGGGGTACGTACTCAGAAACTGTATTTGGAACCATTTTTTTTTATTTGTTAAAATATCTACTTGGAACAGGCCCTACTATTGTAGGGGGAAGATACAGTCAACGACAGATTTTAGAGGACACCCGAAGTTTGATAACACATGGGAACTTTGTAACCAACCCATATAGTAAAGAGGATTAATCCAACATGATTGGCCAAAATTAACTTTGGCGCGAAAACATTAACTTTGGCGCGAAAACATTTAAAATTCGCGGGCCCTACACAGTCGTGACATCGACACCAGTCACTTCAAAAATGGCACCAAAGGACCGCAACCAAATCAACCCGAAGAAGAAGCCACGTCGGCGTTATACGCACGCCGTGAAGCTCGCTGTGCTGTTCCAAATGCACACAGCCTCCATTCGAGACATTGAGGCGGCGACCGGCATTCCCAAGAGCAACGTTGCTCGCTGGATGCAGCAGGCGCATCAACTCCTCCTACACGATGGCCTGCTCAAGCGCTACAACCTCAGTGGTGCTGGCCGCCCTCATGAGCTCCCCGATACGGCTGCACTCGTGGCCTATATGCACAAGCTTCGTGCTGCCGAGCGCGCTGTCACGTGTACACACCTGGTCAACTTTCTCAAGCGCCACCACCGTCCGTGGCTTGACGAGTACTTGGCCGCCAAGAAAGCCGGCTACAACTCTCTGCTCCGTCTGCTCCAGCGT